TTACTCTTTCTCTCCTCATCCTCTTCCTCCTCATCCTCCACTTCTTACTCTTCCTCCTCTATTGTTCGTATCATCATTCAGTCACCTGTGCCACTTGTGCACTCTGAACTGGCTCATATTTTGTACAGTTGGTTTGATCACATCATTAGAAACAAGTGTGAACAATTTTGAATCGTTGTGTGTAAACGATGACAACTGTGCTTTAGTTGTGTTTAACTTTTGCCGCTTGTGTTTAGCATTTTGCAGCATAAATGCATCACAGTGTGATCAGTGTTTAAGTGAATGAGAATGTGTTTAGAGTTTAGCAAAATGAGTGCATGAGATTTGCAAATAGAGCCTAACTGTCTGAACGTGTTTAAGGTTTAGCAGAAAGAGTGCTTTATTCGACAAATTGGTTTAAGCTAGGGAGAATTTGGCTGAGAGTGTTTTAGCAATTCATAAAAACTGTAATATGCTTTCTATGTATATAAAATCACTTTTGTAAATTTAATTTGATGTGAAAATTGACACCAAAATTGAATGTCTTGTTTTTGGCCCAAGTGCATGGCGTACCAAAAAGGCCAGGCATATCTCATAGCTACAGCCTGTCTTTGGTTATATATTTATGACCATCATTTGCGACTAGTTGTGAAATGGAGTTCGCTGCTTTAAGCTAATCAGTTGTCAGTCCAGATCTACTACATTTTTGCTTCTAAGGTTTAGCAGAAATAGTGCTTTATTCGACAAATTGGTTTAAGCTAGTGAGAATTTGGTTCAGAGATTGGGGTTTAGTGTTTTAGCAATTCAGAAAAACTGTATTTCAGGTCATTTGAAAATAGCAAAGAAATCATTCAATCAAAATAATTTAACTGTGGCAGCAAATTTGTAGACCTCACATCTAAGTGGTCCGAATGTGCAAATGCGTTGATAATTCGTTATAGCAAAATGACATTTATTATTGTTGTTGATGTTGTTGCTGCTGTTGTTGTTGACGACACAACACAAATTAGTGAAAATCAGAATTGCGAAAAAATTCCAAATAACACTTTAATATAGATTCTGTTCTTGTCATCAACTACAAGAATACACATTTACAAACCATAAATAAGTTTACACAAGTGATTGAAGAACCGTCCGCAGTTCTTCGGTGTGATTTTGGTCCATTTTCAAAAGTCGCCTCGAAGAGTTCGTCACATTGTCAACAGATCTTTTACAAAATAATTACTAAGGAACATCTAAATTAACGGGGAACGTCAAAAATCAGAATACATACACAAACATTTTACAAATGTACAAATTGTCACAAGGTCCGTGAGAGTTTAGGAAGAGTTCAGGATGGGCCTGGAGTACACACCTTGATAGTACGATGTGTCCGGCGAATCCAGGCCCGCTTTGCTCGCCATGGAGCCCATGGATAACGCGCCGGCCATCGGAGAGCCGTAACCGTAATGCATCACTTGCTCATACGTCTTTAGGTCCATTTTGTGATGCTGTTGCTCCGAGGACATGAGGTTGTTGATGGAGAAGGGATGATTGAAGGAATAGTGATGTTCTGGCTTCAGGTGTCCATCATGCGCCAAAACAGAGTGATGTTGAGCCAGGAGATGCTGCGCTTGGGAGGTCGGGGAGGCTGCGTGGTTCGGGCTCAGACCCTGACCCGACTTCATGTCAGACAGGGATCTTTTGTGCTCGTTGCTGGACGAGTTGGAATGAGGAGATTCGTTCCCGTTGCAGCTCTCAGAGCTGCTGTTCGAGCCGCCCTCCGAGGTTTTCCGACCCGGCTCCTTGCTCAGTTTCTTGTCGCACTTGAAGCGCTTTTGCCTCCTCAGATAGCAGCCGTTTTCGAACATGTTTCCGGAATCGGGATGAAGGGTCCAAAACGAGCCTTTGCCCGGCTTATCCGGGGAGCGCGGAACTTTCAGGAAGCAGTCGTTGAAGGACAGCGAGTGGCGGATAGAGTTCTGCCAGCGCTGCTGGTTCTGTCGGTAAAAAGGGAAAAGGTCCATTATCCACTGATAGATCTCACTGAGGGTCAGCATCTTACTGGGCGACTGCTGGATCGCCATGGTTATTAGAGAAATGTACGAGTAGGGCGGCTTAGCGTGCGTGTAGCTCCTCCGGTAGGTCTTCGGGTCCCTTGATCTGTTTATGTTCGACTGGCCATACATTGGGCTCATAGCGTTCATGTTGCTGTACGAGGTTAAGGCGTTCATGGAGGGCGCTTGCGCTGCCATGGGGCTCATGGTCGGGCTCAGGGCTGCACCCATGCCCGTCATACCAGCGCCCATGCCGGCCATCGCTCCCGTGCCGGGAGACATGCCTGTCATTGAAGGACTCATACCCGTGTTGACATAGGACATGTTCATGGTGTTAGCTGCTGTCATGTTTGCGGTCGAACTCATTCCAGACATAGTCATGTAAGTGTTCATAGAGTTCATTCCTAGTCCGGTGTTCATGTTGCTCACCGAGGTGTAACACTGCGAAAGAAATCAGACAATAACTACAATTAATTACAAGGCAACTCCAAGCAGAAAATATTTAAAATAGTTGGCTTCGCTAAACTGAAAAGAACAACATTAGAAAACAGGGTTTCCTAAAAGTTTTTTAATTGTAGCATATAAATAGTTTAATATAGAACTGGTTTTTATTAAATAGTTCGTTTTGTTGGGGGTTTTAAAAAAACGATTTCATCTGGAGATAATGTGTCATAAGCGTGTTACTAAAGTGAAAGCCTTTTCGGGAGGCAGTTAGAAGATTCCAACATATTAAAGGAAAACCCAGTTGTAGTCGATATTACCGCCACTCAGAAATGTAAAACCAAGAACAGTAGGCTATTTGTTTAAAAGTCAAATGTCCGGTCGTTTTCGCTTTCGAACGCCCGATGTTGTTGAATAAGAAAACCCATGTATTCGTCGCTATCCATAATTGGAAATGAAAAGTTTGCATTGCATGTCAAGCACAACTTTGTTAGGATAGTGCATGGCGTCGAGATGATGGGGGAGGATTTGGAAGCGCCTCAAGTCAATATTTGATCTCAAAGTTAATATTATCTCAGGGCTAATATTGAGTTGTATAAAACCGGATCGGATTTCGACGAGGAGAAAAAAATACATATATATTTATTTAGGTGAGTTACCCACCTCGGGCTCTCCGTAGTAAGCGCTCCAGTCAGCTGCGTGTTCGTGTCCCTCCATTTTGACAGCACCAAGCATCCTGGAAAAAAGTTTCTTCTAGTTTTCAAAACGCTTTCCCCACACGAGAAATGCCGGTATTGTGTGTCCTTTGGCAGCCAAAGGTGGTTGTTGGGGACCACGGGATACACTCGTGTCGTCGTCGTGCTCTCCTCCTGTCAAGGGCTGGCGCATGTGTGTGTGTGTGTGTGTATCAGAGATGACTGCAGTTGAAATGACGCCTGCTGCTGGCTCTTAACGCTGTGATATAGCTCTGTGCGCCCGGGCGAGCCTCCAATCCCTACTGCTTCACTCGGCCCCTATTTGAATAATCTGCTCACACCTAGGCGTGAGACTTCTCCATTTGCCCCCCTATTGTACACCTGCGCAGCTTGAAAAGAGCAGCCCCATTTGAAAAGATTCATTATATCCTAATCTTATTGTATTCCAGCGGGAGAAAGGGGGGAATAGAAGTTTGGACTGCTGGGAGAGGAGTGGTTTGAAATCGCATCCAGATAAAATTGGGGAGAATGGGTTTAAGAATGCCAGCACCTCTGGGTGTTCTATAGTCTTTATTCCGATTATTCAACTGTACGAGTGTTTTTCATTTCATAGTTCTTAAGCAGTGTTTTATTCACAATCAATGGGAAGCAATTTTAAAAAAAAATCACGGTAGCCTATATTTGAGCAAATCCATCTCACTTTTATTAATAGTATTACTATTAATAGTATTACTATTATTATAATTATTATTATCATTAGACTATTATTATTATTATTATTATTAACAGCTTTTTAACCATTTACCGTTTATACATTTTCTTTTTAGAGCTAAATATACAAGTACAATAAACATAATGTTTATTTGATAATTGATCAATTAATTTTTTTTTTTTACATATATAAATAGGACGGCATTGATATAGGCCAGATCGAAACGTGCTCATAATGCGTTGTTTGTTCTAATATGTTTTCGCCTATTTTGAATTAATTTGTTTACCTGCGCTCTAGTTTATGTAGCTAATAGCGGTACGCAGTTTGCTAATGTAAGAGCAGGTCATCGGTGTTGATTCTGCAGAGCTCAGTGGCAAGATTTGATTGCCTTCATTAAACAAAGTAGCCTAACATTTATACACTGTGTTTGACTATCCACGATATCTAGCTGGTGGTGGTTTGGTGCACAGGCTGAGGACGACGAAAATAAAAAATACGTGAAGCCTATACAACATCATTGCTTATAATTTGATATCCTTCTTTTGGCCTTTGATAGCTATGGTTCTCTTGTTTTTGTGCAAAAAAAAAAAAAAAAAAAGAGTGCGCCCTCTCTTGGTCTACAAATTGATTTTCCAAATAAATTCCACAGAAACAATTGAAGTAAGTATGATCAAATGTTAACACTTTGACACAAAAGTTAACACTTTTTTTTTTGCATTTAATGTTTAATAGATCACTAGTTAGTTGCATTCAAACATGTCACGAAATGTTCATGTATTTTCATACTCAGGCGTAGGCTACAAGAAATACTGATCTTTTAAGCATTATTTAATGAATAATTGAATATATAAATGACACAAAAATTATAACGGTTATTGTTCGGTATCAGTTAATTTTATAAACACGTTTATCTAAATTTGCAGACTTAACATTGTCATTCTAATCATCATTTTAATCAAATAATATTTCTTAAAATAATCACCTCTTTTTCTATTTGACACGTGCCTCACCAGCATTAGTGGTGTAGAATCAGATTTAGTGTGTATTTGCGTATAACAGGGATACACTTTGCAAATATAATCAGGTTTATTTGGACCTGTGTGTATTGTGTAAACGGTGTAAGTTTGACGTGCTCACAGACACCGCGATACGCGTGCAACATCGCCGAACAAATAACGTTCAGCAAATTCGTAGCAATTTCTTATTGTGGTTTAACATGTTGTATGCCACTGAACATCTTAAACGATGGTGGTTATGAAGGCAAACCTTCTTTAACAACAGGCAATGAAATATTGTAACAGTAAATCAATTAAAACTGGGTCATCACTGGAAATTTAGACTTTATTTATGCTGATTATGTACCTTGTTTGGATAACTCGTTGAAGTTAGTAAAAATTAGTATTCCTTCAGTTTAAATGAGAACCGTCCGTCATTAAAATGTGTGCAAATGGATCTACTTGTGTTTAGCATGTTCACATTACCTTGATTTGACTTTCAGTCATTTTTGTAGATGCCATTTTAATTATTAAAGACTGAAAAGTTTGACAATGCTGGACCAGTTGTAGTCATCATAAAACTGGTCCATATTATAAATAATATGCTTTAGGCATGTTCATTCCGTTTTTATTATTAATTTATTTTCTGAGTGAAAATCAAATAATAAAAAAAGCAGTATAATTTGCCAGTTGTCTCTTGATCTACATCTCAAAAAAGAGATTGAAGTGTGTGTGTGTGTGTGTGTGTGTGT